TAATCACAGTGTGTTGCTATTGTAGGTGTTCTAATTATTTTTTGATTAGTTTCAATTCTTGGTAATTTGCTACCAAAGCCTTGTTGACAGTTTGTATTTAGAGGATGCTTTACTTCTGGTTGAAGGAGGTACATTCATGAACTATTTTTTTTTAATGCACTGATAAGGTAGCATGTTTGGCCTTTTATTTTATATGTGGAAAAAAGAATAACATATTTTCAAGTTTACTCTTTTGATTTAAATGGAAAATTAGGAGTTTTTGTTACAGACCTTCCTTCCTCCCTCCCTTCCTTCCTTCCTTCCTTCCTTCCTTCCTTCCTTCCTTCCTTCCTTCCTTCCTTCTTCCCTTCTTCCCTCCCTCTTTCTTTTTGTCTTTCTAAATTACTGATGACAAATCTCCTATTGTTTGATTGTAAACAAAATGGTTAATAAAAACATTTTGTTTCTAAAACCCTTTTGGATTTTGACAAACCAAAGTCAAAATATCTCCTTACCTTCTTTCTTTTGGCCTGGAACACAAGGAGTTAAACTATTAGAAAAGTAAACAAAGCCATGCTTAATTCTCTGTATTTCCTTTGGCATCCTATTGAAGTGTGATCCTGGTGTATGTTCACCGTGTATTTTTTGTTTTACTGTGTGGTCTTTATCCACAGTAAGTTTCAATTAACTTTTAAAACCCAGTGATTATTTTAGAAAAGCAGGGATGAATCACACTTCACAAGATGCCTTCTAAAATTGTGGCAACCAAGGCGGATTTTCACTATTGATTGATTTATATCTTTTTAAAGATATGTTAGGTTAAGTTATAATTGGGCATTTGAAATTGATGGTATTTTACCCTCTCACAGTATACCTTCTGCATTGCTGTGTAAGGATGTAAAAGTTTAATGACTCCTACTTTCTTCTTATTTTTTGTTAATTATAAAACATTCTGGAAAAAACCTCTACAATTTGGAAGTTAATTGAGTTTAAAAATAATCACATATTTTCTTTCTGCCTAATAGAGGAGGGCATTAAGAAAAGGGAGGTTAGTGTATCAGAAAAATATATCTCTAAATATGTCAAGTTTTGACAACTTGTTTGTCAATTTCACCAGGTTTTTAAAGTTGAGCTGAAGTGAACTCTGTTTACTCTTCTACCTTTTCCCCCTACACATGCATTCCTGCCACTTTAACGCATTTATTTGCCATTGGCAGGATTAATGTAAACATTATTTTCTACCTGATCCTGTCTCTTTTTTTTTCTTAGCTTAAAACTTCAACTCGCTTCACCATCAGTTCACTTATTTAAATAACATATTTTCTGTGCCTTCTCTTTCCCTCTTGCCCATCTCTGTAACAGTCCTCCCATCCTTGCTCCTGATAAACACATTGATTTATTTAAACCATTGTTGTCTTTGTTGCTCCCATAGCAGGCTACCTTCCTTGCAGGGAGCAGACGCATGATTTACTGTGGAGGATGAAAATAAGCCTTCTTCTTGGTGTGTCATTGTTTGGGCCCTAAACCAGCTGTCTATTAAAATGGTTTCACTTAAAGTAGTCACTGCTGTTGATATGCTTCCATGATCTTCCAGCTGATGCAGCCTCAGTGAGCTTTACTCACACCCCACAGAGGCATATACTTAAGTTAGGAAGAGAAGTAGAAACTTTTTCCTAAGTTGGTGTTCAAGCAGCCCTTTCCTTTTAGGCTGAAAGCCACACCCAGTCCTGGTGTGTGTATTAAATGTATGTGGTAGAGAATTGATTGATGTGTGGCTATCAGTTGTGTGTATAAGCTGGTGGGTGAATTTGGTGGCATTTTTTAAAGTCTTACTGTTGACACTTTGCCTTAGAGATATTCATCAGAATAAATTTATCATGGCTTTCTATATTGGATCTCATTAGACTCTTGGCCCATAACTTTTACTTGATTGTGTGTGTGTGTGTGTGTGTGTGTGTGTTTCAACACGCCTTTTTGGTAACAAAAACTGCTTTGGGTGAGGTTGAAGGTGGATCTCTCTTTGAGTTCCATTCCATAGCTAACTAACGCTGTTACGTCGCGGTTCCAGTTCACTCTTTTCAGAGGATTTTAGTTTTACACATAAAGTGAAAAGGCTCCCTCTCTCACTTTTATTTCAGAAGTCACAGAAGCAGCAAGTACCTCTTTCTCTGTGCTCAGGTGCAGAAAAACATTGTTCTGTTGAGGCCCCAAGGACAGGGACGGCCACAGAAGCTTCATGCTTCACTTCTTCCCAGAGTTCCTAACTATTTCTGAGCAAATCCAGGCTCATGCTATCATTTTTCTATGCTTGATTTCGAGAAAGAGTCTCCATGTTGACTGTGTTGCCGGAGGCGAAGTGGCAGTTTGGCATTTGGTGGAGAGATGTATCCCGGAGGCCCTGGGCCTTCAGCAAATGATGTTCTGTCACCGCAGACAAAAACACGGGATTCCTGGGGGCTCATGGATTATTGACCGCGGTGTCACATGCGTTTTTGCAGCGTGTCTTTAATTGAATATTATCGTGGGCCCACTGATTTTAATGGAATTGGCAGCCTCAGTAAAAATAATACATGTCATCTAGAAATAATCAAAACAAGGTCTGAGGTAACTGATACTCCCTCCTCCCCAAAAGAACCAAACTTTTTTTTTTAAAACAGGAGGGAAAACCCCGCACCAATACCTGTGAATTTATTGTATTTACCAAGTAACTTATATTAGTTAGCATGACAGAAAACTGAAGTTGAAACAGAGGTTATCAGGAGTCTTAAGAGAACATACAAAACAGTGATAATAGGATTTTACAGAAATGAGTGATTAGAATTTTTTAGCACCATGTATGAGATCTAACCAGCTGCTTAAAGTGTTGCTTCAGCTTCCCCAGCGGTGACTGCAGTAAATAAAGCAGGCAGATAGAATTTTTTGGTTTTCAAAATGCTTTCCACTGCCTTAATGCATTTTTCTTGAGTAAAGCAACTTCTTGGGTATTTGAAAAGATTTTTTATTTTAACGATACTGGAAAGAATCATCAATGTGAGCCATAACTAGAGTATGAACATTTGAGGGATAATGTGATATTAACACAATCTAGATGACCTCCCCAAAAGATAGTTATGAATTACACAAGGTGTGGGGGTCTGGCTGGTGATCTCTGATGGAGAGCGGGCACCACCTTCACCAGACGGTCAGAGGTTACTGCCTGGAGTGGACCTAGTTGGCAGCGAGATTTGATACTCTGAGAACTCAGCACCACATCTGTGGTGCTCTGGCCTGAATCGTGCAACTTTAAGTCTGAGGAAACTTCAGACAAACCCAAATGGAGGATATTCTACAAAAGAACTGGCCCGTATTCTTCAACAGTGTCCATGTCATGAAGGGCAAAGACTCTGTTATATTGGCAATGTAACAACCGAATGCAATAATTCATACTGGGATTTTTTTGTTGCTGTTATAAGGATGTTACTGGGTAATTGGTGAATCTCTGTAAGGTCTGTAGATGAGGTTATTGTATCTGTTAATTTTCTGATTCAGATAATTAGATATTCAAGATATTCTGTGGTTATGTAAGAGAATTCCTTGTTTTAAGGAAGTACAGGCTGAAGTATTTAGGGTGTGTCTGTAATTTACTACTAAATGGTTCAGAAAAAAAATAGAGAAAAGTAAAAAAGCAAATTTAGTAAAATGTAAACATTGGAGAAATCTGCGTAAAGAATATCTTGGACTTCTTACATTGCTGAGACTTTTCTGTAAGTCTAAAATTATGCCAAAGTAAAACTTTAAAATAACAGGCTAACCATAAAAAATCATTTTGATGGGCCAATGGTAGGGAGCTGTTTCCTTTTGAAGCAGACACTTTTTGTCATTTTTTAATTTGTTCCTGTTTTTGTTTTGTATGGAGTTAGATACCTTAACCCGAGCCTGGTCAAGGGTTTCCACACATGGTGTCTTAAGCTTTCCCCGTTACTTATAGCCTCTAAAAGTCCAAGATTCATAAATAAAACATATTAGAGCCAACCAGAAGTTACTGTAGCATCCATATGTACTAAATAAAGACAGTCTCTGGTTAATTTAAGTAGTTTTATCACCCAGCAGTTGAGGGTTCTGTGAATGTGTGAAAGTAATTTTATTAACAGTTTGAAGCTGTGTTATATAAGTATTATGCAGTGATGCAGTGTTAAGTTAGTTAAAATGTATCCCAGTGCAGAGCACTGCTCTACCAATAGCTGTGAGTTTTCCTTTGGCTCAGATATTAACATGTAGATCTTCCAGGAAGCTGAAGTGTCAGGGAAACGTCCTAGTGATCTCAAGCAAAATGTTTGTTACACACATTGCTAAAAACAGACAGAAACATCCTGGCTGGTGAGGTGGGTTGGGTCTTCACATTTTGAGAATCAGATGTTATTCTTCTTAGTTTAGGGAGATGACTGTGTGCCTTAAGCCCACACAGATGCTGGCACGCATTACTGTTCGGGTGGGTGTGCACCCTGGAGAGCACGTGTTTCCAGCCTGTTGGTGGGAAGAAGGGTTTTCCCTGGTTGATGAATCATCTCAGAGGAGACAGTGAGTGAACAGACTCATTGATCATACCTCCATTTGTTTCCTACCGCTCACCTCTGGAACCTACAAGTTGGGCCTGGAAGTAGTCAACAAGGTGGCAAATACGTACAAGTCTGTGTACTTTTCTGTATTTTACATCAGTAGTACCCCAATACACCTGCTGGGTTTTCCTCTCGCCGCTGATTAGGTGTATTTGTATTCTGAGTTGAGAGGACAGACGCCCATCTCACACACCGATGCAAAGAGGAGCGTTATCATAAGGTGGCTGACAGGCCAGAGAGGAGCGTGCCCCTTCCACTCACTTGGGGTTGGTCCTGGTCCTTACCAAAGTGTCAGCCCAGGAGGCGTTAGGCTCTTGAAAGCTAATTAGCCCGCAGCAGGGGTGGAGTGGCCAAGAACTCAATTCTGATGGTTTGTCCTCTGCTACTTGACTCCATTCTTAGCTCCAATCCTGCCTTTGTTTACAGGCCATAGTGTATGAAGGCCAAGACAAGAACCCAGAAATGTGCCGAGTCTTGCTCACCCACGAGATCATGTGCAGGTAAGGAACCCCTTATTCTCTCCCATGAATTAGCAAAGAGAAGACGGATTTGAATTCCGAATCTAGGTGAACTCAGGTTTATTTTGGGGTACACATTTATCTTCTATCAGACAACCTGAAGAGAACGGTTAGATCTGTGTATTTTGTACTAAATTGTCAGGCATCAGAGTGGTTCTCAATTATTTATTAGATTTCATCCTGTAAGACATACATTTCCATTTTGATATCACACTGTTAATGGGCACAAAGCAGAACCCTCCCCTTCTTCCTTTCAATCGAATAAAACACAATATAACCCTTTTAGTGTTAATATATGCACTCAACCGCATTGCCAGTGAAGTGAGTAAGAGTTCTATTGATGTCAGCAGAAGCCTCTGTTTGCTAAGACTTAAGGTATAGTTCCCCTTTTTAATTCTCCCACTTAAAAATATGACGCTCAGACACAGGCAGCGTTTCTCTTTAAATTGAGCGTGGATTTTCTTTTATTTCCCCCCTGGACTCTGATCTCTTAATCTTAGTTACCCTGTCTGCAACTATGACAATGTAACTAATATTTCTCAGGGTTAGTGAGCTTTTGGAAGGACAGCAAAGATGAGTCCCTGAAAGGTATAAAAATTCATGTCATCCACAAATGAGCATCTTTATTTTTTGCATGCTATCAGACTGAAGCTACATTTGAAAACAGGCCTGTGGCCTGTGGAGCACATTCAGTTCCATGGTCCCCCCCAAGTCCTCCACATGGGGGAGAGTAGACCAGAGAGCACCTTTGAACTTGCACTTTAGAATTCTTATTCTTTTTAAGATAACGCTGGTACTTTGCTCCTGATATATTCTGAGTATTTGGATAAAGCATGAAGATGCCACTATGCGTCAGAGAAAGGCTACTAATTGTTTGGTCAGCCATGCAGGCTCTCCCTGGCACACAGCAGGCGTGGCTCCTGACTGTGAGGCCCTGACCAATGAATACCCTCGGGATTTCAGTGTGGGCGGGTTTTATTTGCTGCTCGTGGACTTGTGGGGAAATCAGTCTTAAAACTCTACAGGTGGAAATAAATTAGAAAGGGCTTAACGTGTTCCCTGACCAAAATCTCAGATATTAACTTCTTTATCTAGAACTATGTATGTATCTAAAAATTTCCTTTAACAAACATAATTCTAATAATATTATTCTAAAATATACAGGAGTTTCACAACTTTTTGCTTCAGTGATTTATAAAACTTGTCAATTATTCCAAAAACAGTTTGCTTTTCTCTAACTTTAAAGCAGTAGCAAAATCCAAAAATACGGTCATAGATTTCTTAGGCGATATGATTAGGCAAAAATTCATGTTATACTGTATACAATCATACAATTACAGCTGATTTGCACTTTTTAGAATTAAAGGAGTGAAAACATTTTGAAAAGCATTAAAACACGACATCCTTTGTGTCACTATTTTTCAGACTATTTTAGATTCCCACAATTCACATGTCATTAAAATGATGGATCTCCACCAACAGGCCAACTAACATCTATATGTTATAGATTTGCATCTTATATCTGTACATGTTTGGACGCTGCTAGAAATAATTCTGTTCTTGAAATCCTTAAAGATATATTACGCCTTTCACACACAAGCCTACCCTCTATTAATGCAGTTTATATTTTTCTTGTCCTTAAAATTCATTGGTCCAAAGTACTTTATTATGCTGGTTGCTGTGCTTTACTGCTGATGTTCTTTCTATTTTTCAGAAACATAAAAATAGCAAAAAATAAAATCCTCAAGCCGCTGAAGGCAAATGATGCTGTTTGTACTGCATGGCTGAAAGGGAAAAGCCATATTCAAAATGTCATCCTGTTAATGTTACAGATTAGGGGTTTCCTGGCTGCCTATAGATGTGTAAGGGGTACTGTTTGTTTACCAGGCCGCCTTGACCCTATTACACAACCTGTCATCTATTGTGTGGCTAACAGTCTTTTAAATTGCAAATCTGATGCTCTTTAGGGGGCTTTAGGAAAAAAAAAAAATCTCACTTTCCACATCAACCTATTTCTCTTGATTTCTTGCCTGTTGTAAGTGGAAGTTGGGATGTGCTGAATTTGCACCAGGGGTGCAAATGCAGGCTCAATTATAAGCATAAAATTAGAGTCTGTTCACCATTAATCAGCCTGGCTAATTGCTATGCACCACCATTAGCCATATGGTGTGAAAGACAGCTTGCTCTCCCCAAGATGAAATTTCTTCATTGCAGACATGAAATAGTGAGGGCCCTGGATTTTAAAATAGCGTGTTTTAGATATTTAATTTCTAAACAACTTTCTGCTGTGCTTTCTATCAAGGCTAACAGCACAATAAAACTTTGCGTTTATGTCACAAAAGCTGTATATTTATAGTACGTTGGAGTGATAGTAGAGGAGATACAGAATTTACATCAGCAGGAAAGGGCTTGGGGTGATTCTGCTGTGTTGCAGGGAAAGGAGGAAAAAAGTAAAGGGAAAGAAAGGAAGGAAAGGAAAGAAGAAAGTTGTCTCAGGTGGTTGCAAATTTAAGAAATCTGTTTTGTTGTGAGGATAACCCCCTGGCATGAGCTGACTGAAGGACTCAGATTATAATTATTGCCACTCTTGAGGCAAAACCTCTGACTTAATGGCGTAGAGCTTTCTGTGGAATTCTGGCAGAGTGTCTACATTTTCGATAAATCGGAATCTATCATTACAGTTTGCTAATAATACCTGGCGGTTAAAGTCTTCATATGGCCCCATGAAGGATTTTTGTTTTAAAAGCTGGAGTCCATAAGGGATTTGATTATAAGTGCACCACAACATCCTGTGTTTAAATGAGAATGGAAAATAGGAACTACGCTCAGTAGATGGGCCCGGCTTCCAGCCTCCTGGGCAGGCTGAAGCCGATTTCCCTTTCCCCAGTGCGCAGGACCGTTTCAGGGGGTGAGCGCTCTGCTGAGGAGAGCGATCTTTTCCCATTGTCAGTGCCTGGTTTCTGGTGGGGCATGAGTTCATTCTCAGGGTTAGTTAGCCTCTTGCTTGATCTGGCCTCTTCTTCCTTCCTCTCTTGCTGGCTTATTCTGATTGTGTCCTTCAGATTCCCACTTCAGCGTGCTTGTTTCAGCGACGCATCCCTGGCCTTTGTCCTCAACTGCGGCCCCTTGTTAGGTACACATACCTCTTCTTCTTAAAAAAAAATATTTTATTTATTTATTTTTAGAGAGGGAAGGGAGGGAGAACGAGAGAGAGAGAGAGAGAGAAACATCAATGTGAGGTTGCTGGGGGCCGTGGCCTCCAACCCAGGCATGTGCCCTGACTGGGAATCGAACCTGTGATGCTTTGGTTCACAGCCTGTGCTCAATCCACTGAGCTACGCCAGCCAGGGTCACATGCCTCTTCTAACAGCCCTCAGCACGTTGCAACTATGGGTGCGCAGTCCGCCTTCCTTGCTATGGCAGGGAAGTTACTCAGTTTTCCTCTGTGCCTCGGGTATTCCATGTGTGAAAGGGGGGAAACTACCTATTATCTCGTAGGTGGTTGTTAAGATTAAATGCTCTAATCCCCATAAATGTTTGTCATGCTGCCTGACACAAAGGGAATTCTGAATGTCTGTTGGTATTATTTATAGTAGTAGCAGCAGTAGTGTTAGTATTAATATTAGTAGAAGCAGAAGTGGTAGAAGCCATAGCAGTGATTCCGAGCATCTAGCTAGGTGGCTGGCACGTGGACATTCAGAGTGAAAGGCTGAAGAGAGAACTTCGAAAGGAAGTGAAGTGTCTACAAAAGCATTTATGTACTTTGTTCATCCGAGGTGTGGTGCTTTGGGAAGTTTTCATTCATTCTTTAAGCACCTACTGTGCGCACAGCACTGTGGGGTGCTGAGCCAAAGAGGACTGAGTCCCGCAGTGGGAGAGCTGAGAAGTGAGGTGAACTGCGTGGCCCGATCAGTGGACTGCACTGCAGAAAGGTCCACGGTGAGGGGACGGCAGGCAAAGGACTGTGGCCGTTCAGAGAAGGCAGGTCATACGTGCAGACAGCAGCAGCCACAGGAATGAGGAGGAGGGTGAGGTAGGACAGGGATTTTAGAGGATGCATGAAGAAGTGTCTGGGCCCATTTTTTTTGGTGGTCCAGGTAGGATTTCTCTGTGGAGAGGTCACAAGGTGGGTGGACCTGTGGCTTGGAGCTGGGAAGAGAGTCAGGGCGCAAACTAACCAACTTCAGAGGTCTCTTCCCGAAGGTGAGAGTCGAAGCTCTGGGCCCACAAGGGACCAGCAAGGGCGGGAGAGTAGAGAGAGAAGAGCCCTAGGATACATTCGTGGGGGATAATCACATGTAGCAAGGAGGGGCGCGGTGCTTGAGAATTAGGGGAAAGCAGCTTGAGCGGAGAGGGCGTAGAAATAAGAGGAGGGTGTTTCAAAGACGGGGAGCCATCCCTGTACAGGCTGGGGAGCTCCAGATGGACATGAAGCCTGAGAAACGCTGCGAAAGGCCCCTAGTGAGTGAAGCCAGTTTTATGGGGGAGGCAAGAAGTAAGGGAGACTCTGGCAAGGAGAAAGTTGGTCAGCGAAGAAACTCACTTAAAAAAAAAGAAGGAGCAAATTTTTATCTTATTTAAGAGAATGGGAAGCCTTGACAATGCATGTAAACTGAGGGAAAGAATGGACTTGTCGTACAACTATTAATCAGACTCTTCAGCTAATTCCCATATCTCATTCTCCAGCCACTTTGGTTCGATAGGTAAGATGTTTTCCTTTTTTACTGCAAAGCTTAGAGAGTGATACGGTGTTTTTCTCCAGGTGAGAGAGAGCCTACACTTCCAGGAAAGAGTTGCATGTTCCTCCGATGAGGATGTGCAGGTCCCATGACTAGGAAACAGCTAACTGTTTCTCGCCCTGATTGATGGGGCTGCGTGTCAGCTCACTGGAGATGCGCCACCTGTGCCAGGCTGCTAAGGAAGAGACTCACACGCTTGCCTTTCCCTGGGTGTGCAGGATGGTCCAGGCAGTGCACGAGCCT